TACAAGAATGACCTCACATTTTTGCAGCCTCCACAGGCCTTGAGCACTGTGACATTCATATAATACGCATTCGGAAATCATCTGCTGAATCAAACAAGGGAGAAAAGACAAGCTTGTAACTTAAGCACAAACCATAGTAACAAACGTAAACGTGCTGGTTACACTATGAATATAATGCTGAGTCTATCAATAAACGCTTAAGTCACAGGAGAAATACAAACACTGTCACCTTGGAGGAGTGTCAGGAACAACGACATGACTAGGGACCTTAGTAGGTAGGGTAATTCTGGTATATTACATGGAGGAGATTCATCAGCCTTGAAGAGAGAAAAAGTTTATTTTAAAAACATAATAAATAAATAAAACAACCAACCATGATACGACTTGGTGTAGAAAGAGGAGGTGTTGTATAGACCATTGATTCTCAACCCATGCTTATGTTTGAATCACTGGGGAGTTTTTAAAAAATACCAGTGCCTGGACCCAATCCTGGATCACTTAAATTAGAATCTCTGGGTGGGCTTAGCTTTTTTTTTTAAATATATAAACACCTATACGGGTGACTCTAATGAAACCCTGGGTACGGATCCCTCAATCCAGGCTTGAGAATCACAGTCTTGGCAGCGAAACCTTCTTTACAAATAATGAATATCTTGCTTTTTTTCATATTGTTGAAGAAACCAGGAGACTGGTTCATCTTGAGGAAGGGAGGTTTTGGTGGGGGTGAGAATAGCTGCTGCAGATTGTTGTGTGTTAAATGTACTTTACAGCAATTGGATAAAATGCACCCATTTGCTATTATTAAGAAACTCATCTGTGCATCTTAAATTGCCCAGGCTTTCCCCCTCTCTTAAAGGCTGCTTCCTCCTAGAGCAGTGACTGAAGTAGACTGCAGCCAGTATAAATTACATTATTGCATTCACCTCTATTATTTTATCTAAGCTTCTTCAAGGGATTTGACCCTTACTCAAATACTATCAAAACATAACTTTGTCTCAAACATTATATTTCCCAAATTTGTGTTTCTTTTCCTTCCTTCCTTCCTTCCTTCCTTCCTTCCTTCCTTCCTTCCTTCCTCCCTCCCTCCCCTCCCTCCCTTCCCCCTTCCCCCCTTCCTTCCTCCCTCCCTCCCTCCCTCCCTCCCTTCCCCTTCCCCTTCCTCCCTTCTCCCCTCCCTCCCTCCCTCCCCTCTTCTCCCTCCCTCCCTCCCTCCCCTCTTCTCCCTCCCTCCTTCCCTCCCCTCTTCTCCCTCCCTCCCCTCTTCTCCCTCCCTCCCTCCCTCCCTCCCTCCCTCCCTCCCTCCCTCCCTTCCCTCCTTCCCTCCCCTCCCTCCCTTCCTTCCCTCCCCTCCCTCCCATGCTTCCCCTCCCCCCCTTCCCTGGCTAATGTGTGTGTGTGTGTGTGTTTGTGTGTGTGTGTGTGTGTGTGTGTGTGTGTGTGTATTTTTTAGTAAAAATGGGGTTTCACCATGTTGGCCGGGCTGGTCTCGAACTCCTGACCTCAGGTGATCCGCCTATCTCCACTTCCCAAAGTGCTGGGATTACAGTGGTGAGCCACCAGGCCTGGCCTTGTGTCTCTTTTTCACGTTAAAACCTAACATCCACACCACTCAACCCCAACAAAACAAAGACTAACAAGCAAAAAAAAATTTTATGCAAGTTTTCTAATAGTACAAAGCATGGTAGAATATCTACAGCAGTTTATCACATGGGAAAGGAAATTAGCGTCCCTTAGTCTAGCTATCAAGTAACCATGTACCCTAGAGTAACACATTTTTCACTCCGTGCCCCCTTGGTTTGAATGCAGGGACTGTTATTTTGCTAAATTGTGTTTCGCGTTCTGAAGCACACTTGCATGTTGTTACGCAGTGTGTTTAAATCCTAACCACAGTGCTTTTGTTGCAATGGAAATATTTCAATTAATGTTTAGGGTTGGAACATATAAATAAAACTTGGGTCCAGAGAGTTGATTAATCATTACATTCTGGGGTGCAGGCAGGGTTTTGAGTTCTGTCAGGGGAGGAATTAATGTCCTCTGCCTGTGAGGTCTTTCCTGAGGAAAGCTTGGGTTTTAGTGTTACTCCTTACACGGTATTTTTCTTTTGGCAAGAGTAGAGCAACCAGTACCCCCAGTAAAATGTCCTAAATGGCACTTGGAATAGGGATGGTTCTTCACACTCCTGGCAGCGAAGCTGTAGTTCTTGTTCTCTGATGCAGACGTGTACACTTGGCAGTGAACGCAGTGATGATAATGGAGGCATCAGCCCAGGACCCTGGAGTGATACCTTCCGTATCTCTTTTCTTCCTCCTCGTTATGTCCCCCTGACCATCAACTCTGTTGTGTTTAGTTCTCTAAACTAAAGCTGAATCACCAGCATTTGCTTCATGGATCGTGCCTCACAGATACACCTCTTTTTTTGTGTGTACAGGAATAGATTTCACACATCCTCACCCAAGTCATCTTTTAGGCATTTCTTTTTCTTCTCTATCCTTTCGTGGGAGCCTAACACCACATTTTTGGGAATATCAGCCTAGGTGTCCATCATCAGAAATAATCATAAACGAGATTTTCCTAGGCTTTAAGACATGATAAGCTAGTACGGGAATGTCTGGAGAGAAACGTTACGCGTTTATTCTTTACTGGTTCCCCCCACCCAAAAATAAAGTATTCAAGTACAAAATACTTGAAGTAGAAGAAAATATAAGAAAAATTCAAATGAACAAAACAAAAGGAAAATTAAGGTTGAATACTAAAGTGAGGGCAAAGGGAGATTTGGTGAGAGAAATGGATGTGGTAATATGCTACACAGTTAGTAACACTGGGCAGCAAATTTAACCCTGAACTTTCTAACAGCTAAAGCAAAAAGAAACAGTCGCTCCTCTGCTCCCAGATTAGGGAGGAGCCAGGAGAGGCTGCTAGGGAATCTTACTCCGTGAGTACTGGTCAAATACTCCTTGTATCCCCCAGGAAAGTTCCTTCCTTGCCTGGGGTTTGGGGGGACAGACCCCCAAACAACTTTAAACAGTGTGAGAGTGGAGTAAGAATGTCCAGAAAGGCGGAATCCACAGAGGTGGAAAGCCAGCTGGGGGTTGCCACGGGCTGGGAAGGGGTGAGATGGGTGAGGGAGACACTTCTCAAGGGTACAGAGTTTCTTTTTGGGGTGACAGAAATGTTCAGAAGTTAAATAGTTAGGATGGCTGCACACGTTTGTGAGTATACTAAATACCATTGGATTGTACACTTCGAATGGGTGAGTTGTATGTTGTGAATTATATCTCAATAAATCTGTTAAAAATTTTAAGTATGCAATTATTAAAGATAGTAAAATAACACACTGAAGGGGAAAAAAATCCAAAAAACTGATGAGTCTAATATTCTTGTCTTCCACAAAATGCACACTTCTCAGGGGACGAGTCATAACTGAGGCATGCTTTGAGGGAGTTTGGGTCATATCGGGGAAAAATTGAACTGTGCAGCTCTATGCTTCTTTCATTGTGAACGTTCAGTTTCTGATGAACTGTAGAAAGATGTTGGGGTTATAAGACAGTTGGGGAAATTCAGACACTGTGGAAGCATATTTCCTAGTATAAGGAAATTGCTTTTCATTGTTAATGTTTGATAATGGTATTATGGTGATTTTTAAAAAATCCTTATCTTTTACATACTGAAGTATTTACAAATAAAATACTATGATAACTAGGTTTTAGTTTAAAATAATCCAGTGGGTGATGGTATGGATGAAACAAGATGTGTCATGTGTTGGTAACTGTTAAAGCTGGGTTCATCACATCTGTCTCCTTTTGTTTGACTTTAAATATCTTCATAATAAAATGTTAAAACAAGTAGTGTCTTTCCCTGTTAACTACAAAAAGATCTAGCAACACAGCCAGCGTTCTTGCTCATGAGAAATTATGCTATTTGCAGCACTGGTCTTATTTGCTGATTTATGGGTGACTTCTGAGAGATCGGAGGCCTGGGTGCTGGCCCTAAGTCACATGTATAAGTAGGCATGAACTTCTAGTAAGGTCATCCATAGCTCTTTCAGCCTTCCCTCTGCTTCTGAGATACTGCTGCATGGGCTAAGGAAGGGATGGTTGCAACTCTTCAGAAAGGCAGTGAACGCGGGACTCTGACCTCGTAAGTATAGTCTTGCCCTTTACGGTTCGTTTTCTCCTAATTCTTCCTGCTCTTCAGTGGGATGTGAATGCTAAATACTTACATTCAGTGTCATCTTACAGAAGCTGTATATTTTAGCAAGATGCTAAAGAATGGCATTTTCCCTTGACTTTCTTTATGAACTTGAAACCCATTCAACTAATCTATCCACACACACACCTTTAAGACTGGCCAGAAGGGGGTAGAGGAGACAGTGGTACATGTTTGAGAGTGAATGCCAGCTTCTGGTTCAATACGTTTTTCCGTTTCTCTTTGTTCTCAGGGGAGATGGAAACTGGGTGTTTGTATTTGCTCCGTTTCCTTCTCTGATTAGACTGGAACCCTTATTCATAGTAACGTTGTGCTGGCATTCCAGGTATTACATTACGCTGGCTGTAGAGGTCCATTGTAACTGAAACTCATTCTTATATTCAGCAAACATTTGTGTGTGTGTCTACTAGGTGTGTCCTCTTCACAGTGGCCTGCATGGGAGCTGAATTCTTATGCTCGTTTTGGATTCTCAGCATTACCTTCCCCAGAGAACAAACACTGGTTTTAAGAACAGTGGGGGCCTTCTGCTGTTTACAAGCTGTTTATCTCCAGGAAATGGAGTGCAGTTAAGTGTTCTACCACCGAGCTCTGTCACCCCAAGCAGTTTGAATTGCTGAAAGCAGCAAGTGACCATGACACAAAGGTGGTTGGAGATGAGTATTTTATTTAAATGCTTCGAATATTGTTGCTTATGATGTCAGTGAAACATCTGAGTTTCCACATTACTTAAAGATAGATGCATGTTCTAAGGCGTAAGATAGTTTTATGTCTCTGTCTCTTACTTTTCTCTCTAGCTTAAGGACTGCCTTGAGATTGTCTTGCTGGAAATGCAGCAGAGCTAACAGTGCTGAACACTACAGATACCGCTACCGCCTGTTAATCTTCTCCTTCGGCATAGCAGCGGCTTACCACTTACTGAACATCTACTCTGCCTATACTTTACACGCATTATCTCACTTAATCCTCAAAGCAAACCCTGTGAGGTAGGTGGCCCTGTCCTTATTATACAGAGAAGGAAACCAAAGCTGAGCAAGTTCGGATGTCTTTCCACATAGCTGGTACTAAATCCAGCAGTCGGACTCAGGTTTTCTTAGTTCCGAAGCCTGTGCTTTCTCTTGGGTGTTGTCTCTTCCTGGTGTTTGGTAAATATCTGCTGAATTGACGCACACTTTGGATGCTTGACAGGTATTTTGCATACCTCCTAAGTTTATATGAGGTGAGATGGTTATAAGTCTCTAAGGCATTAATTGAGTGGGACTCTGACCATGTTTTGTTACCTGAATGTGCGAAGACAGAGACTGCCCGTATCATCTCCTGTTGCCATTCAGAAGTACACCTTTTCCTCTTGTGATCAGGATTTCACAAAGTGCTCTCGGTGCCTAAGGCAAACTGGCACATTCTCCATGAAAAAGACAGTTACTGTTCTTGGTCAGGTGGCCAGTTGGCCCAGTTGATTTTGGAGCATAGTGTTAATAAAGGTTAGTCTCTTCAGATATCAGCTAGTTGACTTGGATGTATAAATAGCTACTGTCACAAGTAGATCAGAGGTATGTTTATGGATAGACTGGATCTGTAACCACCAATCAGAATCAATCAGCAGTCATTTACTGATCATTTGCTATGTGCCTGGTACTGTACTAGAAGTGGAGTTCTGAAAGTTTTTTTTAATATAGGCTAGGTACAGTGGTTTATATCTGTAATCCCAGCACTTTGGGAGACCAAGGAGGGTGGATCACTTAAGCATAGGAGTTTGAGACCAGCTTGGACAATGTCATAAAACCCCATCTCTACAAAAAAATACAAAAATTAGCCAGGCGTGGTGGCACACACCTGTAGTCCAGCTGCTTGGGAAGCTGAAGTGGGGAAATCACCTGAGCTCAGGAGGTCAGGGCTGCAGTGAGCCATGATTGTGCCACTGTACTCCAGCCTGGGTGCCAGAGTAAAACTCTGTCTCATAAAAAAAGTATGAGATTTAGACCCTCAAAGGATTGTACCTAATTGGTACAGATATGACTCATGGAGAGAGGAAAATATAAAAATGGGAATCTTGTTTGTGTGGGGTTTTTTCCATCGTTTTATACTCAGCAACTAACTTAGTGCTTCGCACATCATAGGAAGTTAGTAGGTAAATACTTTTGGAATGAATGAGAATGCAGAAGCAAGTGCTTAGTAGCTTTCTAATGACTTTATATAAGACGTTGGATTTGAGCTGAACACTCAGGTATAAATGGAATTCAAGGAAGAGGAGAAGAGTGGGAAGGTGATTCAAAGTGCAGAAAAAGGTTTCAAGGGTAATTTAGAAACATAAATGTGCATAATGTGCCCCAGGAGCAGTAGAAAAGACCACTTGTGCTAGGCCAGAGATACAGCCAGAACCACGGAGTAGCCTGAGTGTTGGAAGAAGACGTTAAGACTTTATTCTGTGGTCTCCTGAGTTTCTTTTATTTATTTATTTGGCGACAGGGTCTTACTCTGTTGCCCAGGCTGGAGTTCAGTGGTGTGATTATAGCTTACTGTAACCTCAAGCTCTTGGGCGCAAGCAATCTTCCCACCTCAGTCTCTAGACTAGTCAAGTCCACAGATGCACACCACCATGCCTGGATAGTTTTTGTTTTCTTTTTCGTAGAGATGGAGTTTTGCTATGTTTCCCAAGCTGATCTCTCTTGGAACTCAAGCAATCTTCCCACCTCAGCCTTCTAAAGTTTTGGATTACAGGCAGGAGCCACCACTCCCGGCCACCTCCTGAGTTTCTGATCAGCAGAGAGAGATTATCAAAACACGTGGCCGTGGATGGAACGGATTGATGTGTATGGGAAGCCAGTTAAGAGCTTATAGGTAGGTTTAACAAGCGTTGGTTAATAAGAACCTGAACTCTAGGGTATGAGTTGCGGAAGCTGAAAAGAAGAGGCAGGTGAGATAAATGCTGTGCAGAGAGAAGAAACATGACTTGTTGAGTTAGAGACTTCATAGTGAAGCCTGACAAAGGTAAGAGGAATAATCAAAGATCATTCAGCGATCCCATGTTAAGTCTCTTTTTGCATTGCTATAAAAGAACACCCGAGACTGGGTTATTTATTTATTTATTTATTTATTTTTGAGATGGAGTCTTGCTCTGTCACCCAGGCTGGAGTACAGTGGCACGATATCAGCTAACTGCAACCTCTGCTTCCTGGGTTCAAACGATTCTCCCGCTTCAGTCTCCCGAGTAGCTGGGACTACAGGCGTGTGCCACAGGCTAATTTTTTGTATTTTTGTAGAGATGGGAGTTTCACTGTGTTAGCCAGGATGGTCTCGATCTCCTCACCTCGTGATCCACACGCCTCGGCCTCCCGAAGTACAGGTGTGAGCCACCGCACCTGGCCAAGACTGGGCTATTTATAAAGAAAAGAGGTTTAATTGGCTCACGATTCTGCAGGCTATAAAGGAATTGTGGTGATAGCATTTGCTTGGCTTCTGATGAGGCTTCAGGAAGCTTCCAGTGGTGGCAGAAGGTGAAGGGAGAACAGGCGTGTCATATGGCAAGAGTATGAGCGAGTGAGAAGGAGGAGGTCCCAGACTCTCTTAAACAACCAGATCTGGCATAAACCGTGTGAGAACTCACTCTTCACTAATGGGATGGCACTAAGCCATTCATGAGGGATCCACCTCCATGATCTAGTACCTCCCACCAGGTTCCATCTCCAGCAATGGGGATAACATTTCAACAAGAGATTTGGAGGGGGCATCATTCAAACCATGTCTCTGGCCCCTGAAATCTCATGTCCTTCTCACATTGCAAAATAAAATCATCCCTTCCTAATAGTCCCCCAAAAGTTTGTTCCAGCATCAACTCAAAGTCCAGAATCTCATCTGAGACTCAAGACCAAGTTCCTTCTGCCTATGAGCCTGTAAAATAAAAAAGTTATTTACTTCCAAGATACAATGGTGATATAGACATTGGGTAAACATTTCCATTGCAAAAGGGAGAAATTGGCCTAAAGGAAAGGGTAATAGGCCCCATGTAAGTCTGAAACCCAGTAGAGCAGGCGTTCTTTTTTTTTTTTTGACAGAGTCTTGCTCTGTCTGTCAGGCTAGAGTGCAGTGGTGCGATCTTGGCTGACTGCAACCTCCACCTCCTGGGTTCAAGCAATTCTCTACCTCAGCCTACTGAGTAGCTGGGATTACAGGTGCCCACCACCACACCAGCTAATTTTTATATTTTTAGTAGAGACGAGGTTTCACCATCTTGGCCAGGCTGGTCTTGAACTCCCGACCTCGTGATCCACCTGCCTCAACCTCCCAAAGTGCTGGGATTACAGTCAGGAGCCACTGTGCCTGGCCACAGGCATTAAATCTTAAAGCTCCAACATAATCCTTGACCCCCTGTCCCACATCCTGGACTGAGAGGTGGGCTCCCAAGGTCTTGGGCAGCCCTGCCCTGGTGGCTTCCCTGAGCATAGCCCACATTCTGCTCTCATAGGCTGGAGTTGAGTACCTGTAGCATTTCTTTGCTGAGGGTGTAAACTGCCGGTGGCTCTACCATTCTAAGGTCCGGAGGCAGTGGCCCCCATCTCACAGCTCCACTAAGCAGTGCCCTGATGGGGACTCTGTGTGGGGGCTCCAAGCCCCACAGTTCCCTTAGACATTTCCCTAGCAGAGTTTCTCTGTGGGGGCTCTGCCCCTGTAGCAGGCTTTCTCATACGTCCTCTGGAATCTGGGCAGATGGTGCCAAGCCTCATTCACTCTTGCACTCGGTGTGCCTGTAAGCTTAACACCATGTGGAAGCTACTAAGGTTTATGGTGTCTTGCACTCTCCCAAGCAGCCCAAGGGGCCCTGTGAACCACAGATGGAGCTGGAGCAGCACGGATAGGGGTTGCAGCCTCCTGAGGTGGTGCAGGGCATTGGTGCCCCAGGCCTGGCCCACTAAACCATTCTTTCCTCCTTAAGCCTCTGGGCCTGTGATGGGAGGGGTAACCTGGAAGATTTCTGAAATGGCTTTGGGGCTTGGCTTCCTTTTCTTCACGTAATCTCTATAGCAAGTGGTTGCTCCACAGCCTGCTTAGATGCTTTCTCTACTATAGGGTCTGGCTGTGAGGTTTCCAGATTTTTACGCCATACATCTGTTTTAAATATAAGTTCCATTTTAAGTCATTTCTTTGTTCCCAATTCTGATTGTAGTTTGTTAGAAGCAGCCAGGCCACATCTTAAATGCTTTGCCGCTTAGAAATTTCTTCCGCCAGATACCCTAAGTGTCATCACTCTTAAGTTCACACTTCCGCATATCCCTAGGATGTGAACACAGTGCAGCTCAGTTCTTCGCTAGGGTGTAATGCAGGTGATGTTTACTCCTTTTCCCATTCACTTCCTCATCTCCATCTGAGGCCTCATCAGCCTGGACTTCACTGTCCATTTATTTGTCAGCATTTTAGCCACAACTGTTTGACCAGTCTTTAAAAATTCCAGATTTTCCCTCATCTTCCTATCTTCTCCTGAGCCCCCACACTCTTCCCGTCCTCTGCCCACAGCTGCTTCCACAACTTTTGGTATCTTTATAGCAGTGCCAACTCCTCACTACTAATTTTCTGTGTTGGTTTGTTTTTACATTGCTATAAAGGCATACTAGACACTGGGTAATTTATAAAGAAATGAGGCTTAATTGGCTCACAGTTCTGCAGTCTGCACAGAAATTGTGGTGCTTGCATCTGCTTGGCTTCTCGTGAGGCCTGTGGAAGCTGCTTCACCTCCTGTGGAAGTCATAGCAGAGGGTGAAGGGGAAGCAGGCATGTCACATGGCAAGAAAGGGAGCAAGAGGGAGAAGCGGGAGGTCCCATACTCTTACTTATTTTTTGAGACAGGGTCTTGCTCTGTCACCCAGGCTAGATCTCAGCTCCCTGCAACATCTGCCTCTCAGGCTCAAGCTATTCTCTTGCTTCAGCCTCCCAAGTAACTGGGACTACAGGCACACACCACCACACCTGGCTAATGGGTGTGTGTGTATTTTTTTTTTTTTTTTTGTAGAGATGGGGTTTTGACATGTTGCCCAGGGTAGTTTCGAACTCCTGAGCTCAAGTGATCCGTCCTTCTGCCTCCCATAGTGCTGGGATTACAGGTGTGAGCAGCTGCACCTGGCCTCAGATTCTTAACCAGATCTTGTGTACACTAACTGAGAACTCACTTATCACCAAAGGGATGGTGCCAAGCCATTCATGAGGGATCCACCCCCATGATCCAACAATACCTTCCACCAGGCCCCACTTCCAGCATTGGGAATCACATTTGTTTTGTTTTGTTTGTTTTTTTGAGATGGAGTCTCACTCTGTCACCCAGGCTGGAGTGCAGTGGTGTGATCTCAGCTCACTGTGACCTCTGCTGCCTGCTTTAAGTGATTCTCCTGCCTCAGCCTCCCAAGTAGTTAGGATTACGGGTGCCTGCCATTGTGCCCAGCTTATTTTTGTATTTTTAGTAGAGATGGGGTATCACCATTTTGGTCAGGCTGGTCTTGAGCTCCTGACTTCATGATCCACCTACCTTGGCCTCCCAAAGGACTGAGATTACAGGTGTGAGCCACCATGCCTGGCCTGGGAATCACATTTCAACACGAGCTTTGGAGGGGACACACATTCAAGCCATATCAGATCCTGAACTGGGGATCTTGGGAGAAGGATGCTGCTATTGTTTTATTTAATGTAAATGGAGATCAGAAGGGAAAGGTGGGTTTGAGGGGATTTTAAATTTGAGGTACTGGGACATCAAGAGGAAGTATCTACTTAGCTGCAGGGAATGAAGGTTGTGCCCTGCTGGTTTCTTTGGATTGGGCAGTTGGCTTATATTCGTGTGACACAGAGGCAGACTGGGCCACCCCAGGTATGACTTGTTCTGAGAGGCGATAAATGATATTTCACAAGGGATATATGAATTGATGTTTTTCCCCTAGATACTGTGTATCATCTTTTCTGCGTCTCTCCCAGTAATGTTGTTCTCCCAAGATGAAGGACCACATGCTGAGACAGTTGGCGAGAAACAAAAAGCAGAAGACACAGACTTGGAGGGGCTCAGTAGAGGGGGCAGAAGGTTTCCTTACAGGCAGAGAGCACCTCACTCTGCAAGTACAGTCCCCAGGAGTTACATCACCTCCAGCACCAGAGAAAGCAGTGGAGGCCAAAATTGTACATGTTCCAGAGGTGAATGCTTGGTGTTGGAAAGGTAATCCCGACACTCAAAGTGGTTGGTCTTACGAGAATCCTTTGAGAAGCACCGTGTAAATGGAAAGGTTTGAACTTTATCTTGTACAAGGTCTTTGATTCTTTAACAATATTAACTAGTTAAAATATATCTTGTAAGGCTTAGATTTGTTTCCCCCACTACCACCCTCAGTCCCTTGCATTCTCCATTTTGTGAATGAAAACATAGTTAATAAATTATGTATCTTCTCACCCTTGTTTATTTTTTTTAAAAAAATTTAAAAGTTTTTAAAACTCAGCCTGACTCCAGCACTTTGGGAGGCCGAGGTGGGCGGATCAGTCTGGCCAATATGGTGAAACCCTGTTCGTACCCAAAATAGAAAATACAAAAATTAGCCAGGTGTGGTGGCGTACATCTGTAATCCCAGCTACTTGGGAGGCTGGGACCGGAGAATCGCTTGAATCCAGGAGGTGGGGGTTGCAGTGAGCTGAGTGCAGCCTGGGTGACAGAGGATCATTATGTTTCAAAAAAGCAAAGGTTTAAAAATTTATGCTTTTACTACCTTCAGGGCCTGGGGAATGTGTGTAAAGTATATTCAGATTGTATTTAATTTCATTGATAATTAAATTTCCCATTAAAACAAAAGTGGGGAGAAATGTTTCAGCTGCATTGGAGTAAACAGGAAAGGCCTTTATGGACCACCTGCTAACCGATATTACAGTGTAAAGAATATGAAGAGAAATGCTTTTTAATTAATTTAAATGTTTTCTCTGATTAAGAAAGTCTGTCCACAGGTTTATTAGGTAGTAATTCCTTTAGCTTTATCATCCAGTGGTTCTATTCCTGCATATGGTCTAGTGATGGAGTGTAGGGTTGTAAATGCATATGTTATTTTGCTGGATCCTAAATAGACATAACATGTGCCAGAGAGGAAAGACTCCACGGGGTTAAGTAAAATTATTGTCCACCTATACCATGAAACCCTTTGTAGCCATTACAATTAATGTTGTAGAAGAATATGTAAAGACTTGAACGATATACTAAGTGAAAAAGATTGCAGAAGAGTGATAAGCAGCATGGTCCCATTTTCATCAATACATACACAACTAATAGCATTCATCAGATTATTAACAGAGGTTATCATTGAGTGATAGAACCCGTAATGTCTTAATTTGCTAATTTCTATAGCTATAATTTTATACTGTTATTTAAAGGAAGCATTTGTATGTATGTATCTGTGTATTTATTTATTTATTTTGAGATGGAGTCTCACTCTGTCGCCCAGGCTGGAGTGCAGTGGTGTGATCTCTGCTCACTGCAACTTCCGCCTCCTGGGTCCAAGAGATTCTCTTGCCTCGGCCTCCCAAGTAGCTGGGACTACAGGTGTGTGCCACCACCCCTGGCTAATATATTTTTAAAAGAGACAGGGTTTCACTGTGTTGGCCAGGCTGGTCTTGAACTCCTGACCTCAGGTGACCCACCCACCTTGGCCTCCCAGAATGCTGGAATTACAGGTGTGAGCCATCGTGCCTGGCCAGGAAGCAATTGTTTTAAAAGAAGAGAATGTGCACAGACATAAATTTCAGAGGAAACACATGTGTTCAAATGGCGTGACAGTTTGCTTATCTTTGGCTGAATTATTATGGCCGGCACATATTCTTGTTCTGAAAGACTGTTTTTTGAACAGTGATGAAGTAATTGAGTTTGCCTGGGGGACTTGAGTACAAGTACACAGGTGAAGGGGTTATGACAGTATATGAGAGGGACTGGACTGGAGAAAAGACAGGGATACTGGAAGACAAACCCCAGAGGACTGCACATGATCTTTTCCCAGGAGGACTTTCTGTCTTATCTTGATATCTTGTTGAGAAATCTGGATAGGTAGAAGTTTGTGGAGGAAGAGTTCCTGGATTACAAGTGATCTAGGTAGAGAATTCTAGAAGTCCTCAGCAAGGATCAGGCATGACAGCCTTGATATTTACTGAGTTTTCTATGAATTGTGGCTAAGAGGTTTAGATGCTCTCAGGTGTGTCTTACTCTAGAGTTTGTACGTCTAGGTGATGGGATAAGTGTTATTCCAGCTGAGATGGTTCCTAGACTAGGGGAATTTCTCTCCTTTCTTTGGAAGGTGTCAAAGTACAGAGAAGTTTATGATCTATACATTAAAGATCAACAGATAATAAATTCCCAGTGTCAAGGCAAAATGGGGGCATTTCCTGAAGGAGCCTTTTACAGTGCAGCTTTCTGGTGCCATAGAGGGGATGTTCCCCACAGAAAGGTAACCATCCTCTCACCTTCGTTCACACGACATAGTAGATAAGCCAGGACAGTGATTCTCAAAGTGTGGCCCTCTCACCATCAGCGGAGACCTTGTTAGAAATGCAAATTCTAAGGCCCCACCCCAGGTGCACCCAGAAACTCTGGAAGTGGTTCCTGCAACTTGCTTGTTAACGTCTTCCCGGGCCTTCTGATATGTGCTGAAGTTCAAAACAACTGAGCTAGGAGATAGTCCTAACCTTCGAAGAGCTTCCATTGTCACAGGAAGTCAGTGTGGGCGGTAAAAGCCCAGACACCATTGTATTTTTAGTGTACTTTTAATTTTTGTTAAAGATGTGTGTGTGCCTGATTTTTCTCAGGCACAGGCTCATTTATTTCTGGGCCATCCTAATTCATGCTCTTGGCTTGGAGTCAGGGACATTTTTTAACACGCTGCAACTTTGTTAATTGAAATAGTGCCTTTGCCTTCTAATGAGAGATCATATTCTGGCTAATTCCAAATCTGATTGCAGGTCCTATTTTACTTTTTACACTGGGTAGTAAAACAAGCTTTTTCTCAAAATTACCTGGCGGAAGAAGTTATGTTCATAAAAGAGAAGCTTATGTTAGTGCTGTGTCATCTGGGAGGAAGTGTCATGGGAGTTAGCAGAGATTTAGGGATAGGTTTGGGGATAGACCAGCACTGTGACGACTAGAGGCTAGTTCCTATTCAGAAGAGCAATTAGCCCATTCATGAATTGCTTACACTTCTTTTATCAACCTTAATTGCTTGTTTGAACTGTAGACTTTAGCGTTTATTTCAATTATTAATATCTAATCAACAATCGATTGTGTATTTTAATTCCTCTAAGAGTATTGAATCTTCAAGTGATGGCCCCAACTTCTCAGTTTTTTCTGCCTCCTGACATTTATTTTTAAGACCAGGAGTCTGATAAATAAACTGATAGGTAATTATCCTTTACAACAGAGCCTTGGCATGTATATGTGTAGGTTAAATTACTGTTCTCAGTAAAATCAAGCCAGAAAAGAGAAAAGTGTTTTTTTTTGTTTTGTTTTTTTTTTTAAAGACAGTGTCCTGCTTCTTCACCCAGGCTGGAGTGTAATGGCACAATCTCGGCTCACTGCAACCCCTGCCTCCTGGGTTTAAGTGATTCTCCTGCTTCAGCCTCCCCAGGAGCTGGGATTACAGGCACGTGCCAGCATATCTGGCTAATTTTTATATTTTTAGTAGAGATGGGTTTCACCATATTGGCCAGTCTGGTCTCGAACTCCTGACCTCAAGTGATCCGCCTGCCTCAGCCTCCCAAAGTGCTGGGATTACAGACATGAGCCACTGCGCCTGGCTGTGAAGTTCTTAGATTACTAAATTTTTTATTTTTACTTTCAAATAATTTTAATGGCTGATAAGGGGACCTTGTAGAATTTCTGAGGTTATCAATGGCATTAGAGTTCTTTGTGTCAGGAACTTGGGGAACAGGCTTTGTAGAATGAGACTTATCAGGCAGACTTTTGAATGCTGTAGGAACAGCCAGATTTTCTGGGACACGGTTGCCACCGTGCAGGCTGTTTGGGTAGGGTGAGATGGCAGTTGGTATATTCTAAATCAAGAGTTGGAGAATTCAGCCTTATAATGATTGTTACATATTATGCCTTAGCAGTTCCTACTGCTGGTCTAGAATTTGCTTGTTGGGAATTTTTCGAAATACATTCTAAAACTTGGAGAACTTCTATATAACCTATTGTTGGGGGAAAGAAAACTGATGTTTGAAAAGGTTGCTATCTGACTTTCCACAGTGGAAATAGCAGCAGGCTTTGTGGCATACTTCTCTGTTTTCCAGTTGCTACTTCTGGTATTAAAAGTAGTACTTGTTCACTGACACACTGAGTACAGGCAGGCAGTGTATCATACACCTAGCAGTGTATCCACGGTGGAACCCCCTGGTTCCTTCCTCTACCTCTTTGCTCCTGTGAGGGTAGTCTAAATAGGTGCCCTTTAAAAAGTGATAGGAAGGCATGTTTGATCACCATGTTTGGTACACTCTCAGCCTACCAAAGAAACCAAACTAGTCTTGTACATGTACATGTACATATGCATATAAATATACATACACATACACACACACACACATATATATTTTTATATATTTTTTATTTTTTTTGAGAGGGACTCTCACCTGTCACCCAGGGTGGAGTGCAGTGGTATGATCTTGGGTCACTGCAACCTCTACTTCCCAGGTTCAAGCGATTCTTGTGCCTCATTCTCCTGAGTAGCCGGGATTACAGGCAGGTGGCCATCATGCCTGGCTAATTTTTGTAGTTTTAGTAGAGATAGGGTTTTACCATGTTGGTCAGGCTGGCCTCAAAGTCCTGACCTCAGGTGATCCACCTGCCTTGGCCTCCCAAAGTGCTGGGATTACAGGCGTGAGCCACCTTGCCCGGCCTATATTTTTTAAAAAACCTGTAATAACAGACCATCTAGACCCCACATACCAAGGACTTCCAAGTCCAGGTCCAGTGTTGGTGACAGTACCATTAACATATGGATAGTGAGAAAAAGTGATGAATCGGAGTATTACCAGTTTTCAGAGCTTTTAAATATGTTACCATCTTAAAGTCGAAATTTCTTCATAGCGGTAAAAGTATAGCTATTTATAAATTGTTAAGTTAGGAGCTGTAAATGGATAATTAACTTAGGAAGAACAAAGGTCCTAGAAAGTTAAAACCATTGTAATTCCACTGATACGTAGCTGGATAATTATCCTCCACTCCTAGTGACTTGGAAATTGTTCGTTTTGGGGTTTTCTAGGTCTCTGACTATTTTTCTCTTGTGCCTGTTTTTTTGCTTCTGTTTGTGTTTGACTTTGCCTCTTGTCCAGTCACACTTCAGAGGAACGCAGGCCCGAAATGAAAGAGTCCATGCTCAAATTCAGCATGGCCATATTTGCGTACCTGGATCTTTACAGACCTACTTGTACAACTTTGCCTAAAGCGGCAACGAGATCCTTTTCTGATCCTGCTTCAAAACATAAAGAGCATTTTCTCTTCTGTTATATGACAGTTCAGATAATTTCTACAGGAATCCCCAGCTCAAGAGTCTACCATTGAAATGGAAGTTATAAATAGGTACGTTGGTTGCCTAATGTGATATATATTTCCTGTTGACTTTATCCACTTCTGCTCCACCCCCGTATATCATCTTCCTCATAAAGGTTCACAAAGCCTATAAGTCAAATGATGTCTCATACCTGTTAGTGAGAGCTGGCTTTTTGGATCCAGAAGCGAGAGACATTCCGTTTGAACCTGTGTTCTAGTAATGGAAAGGCTGGTTCTTCCGAATTGTGATTCTCTGGTGGCCTCCACAGTTCTGCTCACAGGAAAGTAATCAAGTAGATCAGTACCAGTTTTTTTATTGGGAGAACATGGAGCTGCTTGTGTGAATTGCCCTGCCACTGGGCGCTCCCGTCCTTGAGAATGCTGGTGTTTGGAACCAGCTGCTTTTGTTTCCATGGTTGCTGTGAGCAGCAGGTGGTGTCTTGGCCTCAATGGTACTGTAACGTTGCTTCCTTTCACTTTGATTGCCCCTCACCCACTCAGGGTGCCCCCAAGTCAAATTTGTCAAACCAGGTAGACTGTATAACAGGTTTGTTTTTTTTTTTCAATCGGGCTGGAAATGAATTTGTATATATGTGTTGGGGGGATTGTCCAGTAAACAATAACTAGACATTTTTGTTTCTTTTCAGTACCTTTTGAGATCTCTGGGGTCCTTATAATAGGGTAAGGTCTTTTAAGACTGTTTTACTTGTGGTTCTCTCTGAAGAAAGTTTGTCTTCCCAAACCTAGGTTGTTGGCTACTTAAGTCACCAAGGAGTATGAAAAAGTGGACATGACCTTGCCAAAAAAAAATTTTCAGACCACCCAGCAAACCAGAGGAAGATTAGGACTTTTTTTTCCTTCTTATATACAACCTCCCTACGGCCCATGATTTTTATTGCCACACAGTGGCATTCACAATATGAAGTGGTGTGAGTGATACTTCTACCTGCTGGGCAGCAGCTACGCTGTGCACTGTGACCCGAGCTGTTTGTTTGGCCGGGTACTGGAGGTGCTCACTGCAGCGGCCAGTGTTTTGTTTGTGAGAGTCTTCTCTATGGTTTCCTGCTTCAGTGAACAGAAGTGGGAGTTGTGGGGGCGAGGGAAGAGGACAGAGAGAAGACGGTTGGACTCATTTCCTGAATCGTCTTAGGCATTCTTGCTGTCTGTTGGTTCCATCTCGGCTGGGCAGCATTTCCCACTGGTTTGTCAGACTGACTTTCCCAGCCGCCTCTGGGGGTGGGAAGGAAAACCACACCTTGCTCGGTGTCAGCCAGTTAACAGGCAGAGTTTTGTTCAGTAAATATTTATAAAACCTCTCTACTAACCTCGAACCCTGCAACCCTGTGCTTTTGAAAAGTTTATTCTCTTTCTCTGGACTCCCAAGTAATTATTTGGGCCCAGCAGTACATCTCATGTGGGCTGCACTGCTGCCCCTTCATCTGCAGGCCAGGTCCCAGAGAAGCTCATGCTTCCCGACCTTAACCTTGAACTTGGTCGACCATTCCCCTGTTTAGGGGTGGCAGAGAGTTCATGGGAAAGGGTCAGGAGGAAAGACATGGGAAATTGTCTTTCACTGTTTTCCCCTTTAATCAGTGAAGTTAAACCCTTGTGATCAGAGGAAGTGCAAAGCAGCGTGTAGGGGGAACGAGGCCTCCAGGCGCAGGGAGCCATGACTCTTCCTGGCTCTGCCGCCCACCAGCAGTGAGGGTATACCTCCATGCGAGGTTACTTTCCGTGAAATAGAAGTAAAGGCCCTCTGGTCATTTTGGAAATAAATTTGAAACAACCTAAACATTGAACAGTTGGGAATTGGTTAAATCAACTAGGTTTATCTTTATTAAGCAGTGTTGAATTTTAATGCCGTATGAAAACATGATATGTTGAGTTTAAGAAAAATATACAAAATATCCTGGAAACTATGATTCCATTTTTTTTTTTTTTTAAAGAATCAGTCTCACTCTGTCTCCCTGGCTGGAGTGTAGTGGTGCGATCTCAGCTCACTACAACCTCCACTTCTAGGGTTCAAGCTATTCTTGTGTCTCAGCCTCCTCAGAAGCTGGGATTAAAGGCACCTGCCACCGTGCCCGAGCTAATTTTTCTATTTTTAGTAGAGAGGGGATTTTGCCATGTTGGCTAGGCTAGTCTCAGATTCCTGGCCTCAAGTGACCCGCCCATCTTGACCTCCCAAAGTGCTGGGATTACAGGCATGAGCCACCGCACCCAGTCAGTGATTTCAATTTTATAAAAACTAAGAAAGGAAGGTGTCAAATTAATAGTAGTTTCCTCTGGTGCGATTATAGGAGATTTTAAACCTCCTTTTCTGATTGCCTATAATGAACATTTATTACCTTTTGTTCCTTTTTTTTTTTTTTTTTGCAGACTACATCATACACAAAAGTACAGAAAACCCATATATAGTTTAATGAATGAGTATAAATGATACCCATGTAGCTACTACCCAGATCAATCACATGAAAGCAGCATTACTTTTTATCATTGGAATGCTAACAGTAAAAATTTTATTAAAAAATACTTTTCCTGAGTTCCTTACTTGGCCATGGTAGGAATAAAATAGGACTGTATAGGAAAGTGCTTTGTTTTTCAAGCCTTAAAATGTCCATCAAACATTAGAAGTTATCTCTCGCCTCTCAAGTGCCAAAGATGACAGGTGCACATTAGCGGTAAGTCATTGCCACAGTATGTGTCTGCTTGTGTCATACAGAGATTTGCACTAAAAAATGTGTCAGTTACACCACTTGCACTCTCTGCACTTTCCCCTCCTAGGAAACCCTTTAGGCATAGTCTTGGTTGGGCACTGGGAAAACTGCTAGGACTGACTGCATGTTAAAAACCTCTGGCTTTCTGTGATCCCTGGATTGTCAAATGTGGTGGAAGGAGTTTGTGTTGATTCCTTGATTTCACCGAAGCCAGAATTCCAAGCAGGAGTTTCTGTTTGCTTTGTTATTGAATTAGCTAGTCTTTTACTTAGTGATTTGAGGTTTGAAGGAAGGAGGCAGTGGATCCATCATAATTTAATAATTTTATCTGATACTGTTACAAATGTCAGCTATCTGTCTATCTATCTTTCTATATATTTATTTATTTTTGACACTGAGTCTCACTCTGTCACCCAGGCTGGAGTGTAATGGCACAGTCTCAGCTCACTGCAACCTCTGCCTCCCGCCCCCTTCAGTTCAACCCCTGCCTCAGCCTCCCGAGTAGCTGGGATTACAGGCGCCTGCCACCGTACCTGGCTAATTTTTGTATTTTTAGTAGAGACAGGGTTTCACCATCTTGGCCAGGCTGGTCTTGAACTTCTGACCTTGTGATCCAGATGCCTCTGCTTCTCAAAGTGCTGCAATTACAGACGTGAGCCACCACGCCTGGCCCAGCTATTTAATTTGGTAGACCAAGTGCAGAGTGACAATGTGGGATCCCTTGTTCAAAAAACACAAAAAGCATCATTAAATAATTAAAATATAGTCTGGGCGTGGTGGCACACACGTATAATCCCAACAGTTTTAGGAGGTCAAGGCAACAGGATCACCTGAGGTCAGGCGTTCAAGACCAGCCTGGCCAACATGATCTTCCTACCTCAGCCTCCCAAGTAGCTTGGATTACAGGTGCGTACCACACTCGGCTAATATTTTGTTTTGAAATGGAGTCTCGCTTTGTCACCCAGGCTGGAGTGCAGTGGCACAATCTCGGCTCACTGCAACCTCTACCTCCCAGATTCAAGCAATTCTCCTGCCCCAGCCTCCCAAGCAGCTGGATTACAGATGCCTACCACCATGCCCAGCTAATTTTTTGTACTTTTAGTAGAGATGAGGTTTCACTATGTTGGACTGGCTGGTTTCAACTCCTGAATTCAAGTAATCTGCCCACCTTGGCCTCCCAAAGTGCTGGGATTACAGGTCTGAGCTAGTGAGCCCGACCGGCTAATTTATTTATTTATTTTAAGAGATGGGATCTCACTTTGTTGCCTAGACTGGTCTCAAACTTATTTCACTTTTTTAAGATTTATTTTTTATTATTTTACTTCTTAATATATGCACATTTTACTAACATTCTCCACCATTAGCTTACTAATGAATAATGGAACTATGGAAAATGAATGGAAAAGAAACTAAGGATTATCTCTTCTTTTCCTTCTGAGACATACATCATCATTTTTAGTGTAAGTGGTTGGCTAACATGAAGAAGTAACATGAGTAAGAAGGGTTGTTCATGTTTTTTAGAGTGCCATTGCCTTTCATCTACATTCAAAGCAGATTCTGGTTCCAGTAGAAAGTGTGGCTTCTTGGGGCCGCACCCGCACATACTCAGTTACAGACATAACATGCTTACCTTGTACTTGCTCTGAGTCTTGCCGAACTCCCACACACGGTGGGTCTCCCAAAATCCTGTACTTATAGGGCATCAAATGAGGTGTGTGCAAATGGGGCAACAAAGAATGGCAGCATGCATATTACGTGTCTCCCCTGCTCATACACGTGCTCCATTGTGCCATTGGACTTCACTTACAACACACAAGTTCAAAGACAACTTATTCATTTCTATGTGGTGAAAACAGAGCATTAAACCAAGTGTGAGGCCCATCTGAGCACAGGGCCCTGTGTGACATGGGTGTATATGTCGCGTACCCATGAAGCCAGCCCTGACTGTTATTTTTGTAATGACAGTGGCCAGTTCTTGTCACCCTTTCCATGGCTTTTTGTTCTGGGTTATGAGTTCTTCTTATCTGAAATCCCGTGGTACCTGGAATTTTTCTCTGTTCAGAGTGAATTCCAGGGTTTTGACAATGACAAGTAGCCGTTATTCACGGGACAAGGTACCACTCACCACTGATACCCATTCATTCTTGTATCTTGTGTTTGTCAGTCAAATTAGGCCATGGATCCTGAGTAGGAAAGAAACGAATCTGAAAGGTCAGCTTTGAGATTTTTTAGGAAGCTTAATAAAAATCAGAATTGACAACGAGTAGCTTCAAAATTGCACCTGTGCTTGCAGCAAGGTAGAATTTCTGCATATGGTACTGCTGGTTTTATAAAATTATCAGTAGGCTGGTAAGAGGTTTGAAAACCAGTGACTCACTGAACTTTTCTCTCAGAGGATTTTTATATGCTATTGGAGTATTTTACCTGTGTGCCTTTTATAGAACAATTTCTCAAGAAGGATATATGTAAACATTCCCTCAACCTGCAGCTAATCTTGACAGTCCCTTGAGCTGAGCATAGACCACAGAGCTTGGTGATTAAGAGCATAAATCCAGATTAGGCAGACTCAAGCTTATATCCCGGCTCTAACCTTTACTAGTTGTGTGGCTTTGAGCAAGACACCTATGCTTCTGAGCTTGGTTTCCTTACTTGTGAAGAAGCGATGATAAGAGTAGCTAGCTCAAAGAATTACTCTTGATAACATTCAGAAAATAGGTTAGTTTGACCTTTGACATAGAGTAGGTGTTCAATCAGTTTTAACTATTATGATTATTAGCATATAACAGGAAAAGACTAAACATGACTATACTTCTGAGGTTGGAACGTGAGCAGATCTGATCATCTTGGCTAGTTCTGTTGAAAATTGAGCAGATAGACATTTAATATGAAGGAGAATATAGTGTTAATCTGTATTAGACTGTGAATGTTTTGAGAATGGAACTGTGTGTCATTGACTGCAATATCCTCAGCCCAGAAGAGTGCTTGACACATAGTAGATGCTGTTGATTAAATGATAAATGAATGGTTTAGAATTTTATTCTTCACCTTGTGTGATATGTATCCTTCTAAATATACAAACATTTATTTTTCATGCCAGTCCAATTGTGTGGACATTTATGGTTTTGTGTAAGGATCCCCTTTGCTTTTCAACAATTGAGAAGGAAATAAAAAGGCTGGGCATGGTGGCTCACACCTTTAATCCCAGCAGTTTGGGAGGTTGAGGCAGTTGGATCGCTTGAGTCCAGGAGTTAGAGACTAGCCTGGCCAACATGGCACAACCCCGTCTGTTCTAAAAATATAAAAATTAGCTAGGTGTGGTTATATACACCTGTAGTACCAGCTACTCAAGAGGCTGAAGTGGGAGAATCACCTGAACCTGGGAAGTCAAGGCTACAGTGAGCTGTGTTGGTGCCACTGCGCTCCAGTTCTAGGCAATGAGAGTGAGACCTTGTCTCAGGAGGGGGAAAAAGGGACAAAATTTGATGGCATGTTTATTTTTAATAAAGATGGAGATAAATGGTAATTTTTAGTATCTGAACATAGGCTGACCTGTAGTTGTAAGCACAGTGGCAGATGGCCTGGAGCCTCTGCTGGGATCTCGGTTGCATTGTGGGGCTAGATAGAAAGTGAAGCTTCTTGTGGCTGGGTACCTGGACTCCTGGTCATAGTCTTCCCTTAGAGCTCCCTGGCTGGAGAACCTGTTCTCATCACAGGACAGCATCAGAGTGTCTGCTCCTGGCCGAACTCAGCTGCATTCCGGCAGGTGGTAGTGATTCCTAGGGAGCCAGGAGAAAGCCAGGCTGTCATTTAGAGTCAAAGGAAGATTAATTTGCCTTTCGATAACAAAAGGGTTTAGGAAGACATTTGAACAGTAGGGCACAATTTGAAGGACTTAGTTTAAAGGAAAATAATTGACAAAGTAATTGGAAAGCTATCTTTTTACAATTTATGAAGCAGTCCCTTTGTATGGGTTTTTCTGTCAATTTCATTTAAATGCTCTGCAATTTAAACACACAGGATTAGAGACCAGGAGTGTTGTTTGGGCTTTGAAAATTCCAGGACAGATTGGAGGCTTGTAACCTCGTACAGTTGCAATGCCCCCCTTTCCTTTTTTTTTTTTTTAAAGTCCACTGTTGTAATCCCTAATTCACAAGAGTATATTTTTCAGAACACTGCTAAATCCCAGACATGGATATTTATATATGCTGCCAATGATATGTGAAAACACATAAAAGGGCAGCTTTTAGGAATATTTTTATTATTTGGAAATGGATCTGATGCCCTTCATTTCTTATGCTATTATTTAAACTGGGTTTTCGGAACTTTTTTTGTAGCTCCAATTGATTTAATTTTGTAGTGATAGAAAAGTTATTTGTCTTAATTTATAGATATTCCTGCTTTACCTGAGAAAGTATTTAAGGATCTTTAAGGATTAAAGGCCCTCTTCAAGCTTGACAATCTCAGTTCTAAAGTTTATATTTAGCACAATTATTGGTTTGTTTTTTTTTTTTTTTGGAGAGGGAGTTTCGCTCTTATTACCCAGTCTGGAGTGCAATGGCGCGATCTCGGCTCACCGCAACCTCCACCTCCTGGGTTCAAGCAATTCTCCTGCCTCAGCCTCCTGAGTAGCTGGGACTGCAGGCACGCGCCACCATGCCCAGCTAATTTTTGTATTTTTAGTAGAGACGGGGATTCACCTTGTTGACCAGGATGGTCTCGATCTCTTGACCTTGTGATCCACCCACCTCGGCCTCCCAAAGTGCTGGAATTATAGGCTTGAGCCACCGCGCCTGGCCCCCAAAATTATTGTTTAATACTCTTTTTTTAAAATGGCATTCTCTGTGAAGGAAGCAGGAGTGATCTTGTGCCCTTTGTGGAATATTTTCTGATTGCTTTCTCCAGGGACAGAAATGCAACTGTAAATGATAGAGATTAAAACAATAAAACTGCCCAATGAGGCTTAGCCCTGAATTGCTAAACCTTTATATAATAAAACATTTTCTGAGAGGATGGTAGTGGCTGCTGCAAAGACCAATAACTGGTTCCTCTGCCTGGATTCATCTCTTTCGTTCTCCCTTCTCTGGTTAAGACTTGCTCATCCTTCAAAACCCAGCTCGGATATCACCACTTCCCCCAAAGCCCTTCCTGACTTCCCTAGGCTGTTCCTGGCTCCCTCTTCTGTGTTGCTTTTGTACTTTTCAAGGAAGGAGCTCTGCCCACAGTGTTCTATAATTAGTTCTGTAATTATTAGTGTTTATCTTTTACACTAGATTATGAGCCCTTTAAAGGCAGGGTCTTGGGACCATTTCATCTTTGTGGCTTAACCCCCAGTTTTATTGCCTGGAAAATAATAGGCACTCAGTTAGTGTCTTTTGAAGGACTAAAGATTCTGCTGAATACTTACAAGGTGACATCAAAATAGATACCAAGTGGGGATACTTAATCTTGGTAGAAATGTGAATTTATTTTAGATTTTTTCATGCTTTTATTTATGATTTCTAAAAGCCAATTCATTAGATTTGGAATAAAGATAATACCCAGTGTTAGCCATGGCCTGGTAAGAGACACTGGTAAACATTGGCAGTGAGGGTAGAAATTGGCACATTCTTTCTGGGAAACTATTTGGAAATTTTAGGCCTAAATATGGTCACACCCTTTGACCTAGTAATTCTATTTCTCAGAATCTACTCTAAAGAAATAAGAAGAAATCACCACAGTGTTATAAAGTATTATCCAAGAGACAGCAGGAAAAGCTTCCTGATACTATGTGTTCCAAACCAAGTACAGAGTCCATGAGAACTGGGCTGATCACCATCACTTCTTGAGGTCTTTGTTTCATATTCTCCCACGTTGTCTGGCCTGTCTTCTTGTGTGTAGTAGAAGTTAAGTAAATACTTTTAGGAAATGGATAAATAATTCTTTGAAGTTGAAACATAAAGCACCCAGTGCGTAGGATAACATAGCTGTTACTCCAAATGCTGCTATCAGATTTAACAACAGTTATTTGACATACTTGTTTCCAGTTTTATTTTCTGTTTATATTTTTAATATGCACATGCTCTATGCACACATTCTTCATGCACGGTTACTTTAGAATCTGCAAAGTGATTTTATATTTTATATTCTTTGGATCAAGTCAAAAAAGGTGTTACTCCCATTTTATAAAAGGGAAAACTGAGGCTCAGAGCAGATCCAGGACTAGAGCTACCACTTTTGACTCTCAGTCCAGTATTTTTTCACAACAGGAGTCTTTGGAGAACCCTTAGGAAACAGGGAGCACCTAGAATGTTGATGAAGGGAGGGTGTGCATCAGCTCCGGAAAGATGTTGACAGATTAGAAGGAGTTTAAAGAGGAGCCAACACTGCTGGAAGAAAGGACATAGGAGAGATGAAAGGAATTTAGTATGTATAGCTTGGCCAAAGGGTGATTAAAGGGGATATGATAACAGTCCCTAAGAATGTGAAGGATGTAAACATCATGGAAAGAGAAAATGTATTTAGGGTCGATCAAAGCAGTACATTAAAAAAAATACAAATTAACGGTCAACATCAGGAAAATTTCCAAGCTAACAAGTGTCACTGTTTTCATGGTGACACTTGTTAGCTTGTAAATTAGAGTCCCAAGACAAGTATCAGAAGCCCTACATAGAAGACGTTTGAGACTAAGGTATTCTGCTAGATTTGGGGAGGGCTTTTCCAGTTCTAATTTTGATGGCTGAGGTCATGTCCTTTCCTAGCATGGATCTGACACCCAGTACTGATGGCACAGTTTTGCATATCAGGGTCAGATGGAAAACTCTTGTTACACTCTTGTGGAGGCCAGATTCAGGCATGTCCCCAACATCATGCACATCATGCAGTCTGACATTGCAGAGACTGCCTGTGAAGCCTAACTTGAAACCCTAAGGGTTTAGCTCATTAACTGCCATAAGGTGGTTGATGCCCCACCTCCACAGTGTCCCCGGCTGGGAATTTCAGGTTGTGAGCAAGATGCAGAGATGCTGTCTTATCGTATCATTAACAGCCACATTGGGTGAGCAAGTGGGCATGTTCCAGTGGGAGGGAATGTCATTCCCCAAGACGTTGCTGTCGCATGGGTAGATGGAATGATCATGCACATATTGTGTGTGTGAAGTCATGTCCTCAAGAGGGGCACCTGGGCCCATGGCAGAGTCAAATAAAATTTGAGGTCAAAACTGTAACAAGTATTCACCTTTCATTGAGATGTGGCCGTGGAATTCTCTCTACCCTATAGGAGTTAGGCAACAGAGATGTCCTTCAAAGTAAATAAGAATTTAGAGGGCAGTCTTAAAAAGAGGAGTGTGGTGTTTAGACCGGAAGAGTTTGTTGGGGGCCTTGGAAGGATCTGGAAGGCACTCAGACTGTGAAAGACTGGGCCACTCCACCTCTGAGTCCCCATGACGTAGGCCCAGTACCCTCTTAGATTTAGAGGTGCCAAGGCAGCTTCAACCAGGTGCAGGAGCTGCTAGCCTTAGGGATCTGAATGATTTGACCCGACGAACTGGACTGCAAAGATGATCTGGGGAACCCCTTGGCACCTGTGGCACTACCACTAAGAAAACATTGTGAGAGAGGGAGGGTGGATTACTTGAGGTTAGCCTGACTGGAATGGTCCCGCGTTCTGTGAAAACAGAGCTGAGCTAGGACTTGAGATGATAAAGTGTGTGCATGTAGTTTATAATCTTTTTTCTCCTGTTTTCTGTGGCCTTCTCCTTTGGTGTCACTATTCCCACCCCCCATTCATTCACTCATTCAGCAAACTTAATGAGCTCCACTTCTGTGGCCAGTTAGGAGTCCATGCTATTAAGGATATGAATTAAGATCATGGTGATGGAAGTCAAAAGTTACATTTTTAGAAACATTTAAGAATTAGGGGATGCTGTTTAGTGGCAGAGCTGTAACTACAACCTGGGTCTTCAGGTTCCTAGGGTAAGGAGACTTCCCCTCTGCTATGTAAAGCTTACTGTCTCCTCCCAGAGGAACTCTAATTTAGCTTTTCTTTCTTGACCAAGGACTTGGCATGAGACTATGAGATATGCCACACAGTTTCATAAAAGCAAAGGTATGAGAAATTTATTCTTGGCAATTTATGCTCTAAATCCTTTAAGGTAGATATAATTGCTATGCACATGGATTAAGGGATGTAAGGCCAGGCCCGGTGGCTCACGTCTGTAATCCCAGCACTTTGGGAGGCCGAGACAGGCGAATCACCTGAAGTAAGGAATTCAAGACCAGCCTGACCAACACGGTGAAACCCCATCTCTACTAAAAATACAAAAATTAGCTGGACGTGGTGGCTCATGCCTGTAGTCCCAGCTACTTGGGAGGCTAAGGCACGAGAATTGCATGAACGTGGGAGGTAGAGGTTGCGGTGAGCTGAGATCACACCACTGCACTCCAGCCTGGGCAACAGAGTCAGACTTGGTCTCAAAAAAAGGGTGGGGGCAGGATTTAAATGTATTTTCAAGCATTCATATTGTCATAACATGTAATTCTCCAACATAATGCACATACAATCAAAATATTTTCTTTAGTCTCTAAAATTAATAATCTCGTCTGCCTTTTAGAGTAAGGGCTGCCTTCTGTAGCTCGAGCGCTTGTGTATGCTTTCATGTTACAATGCTGTCTTCACTATTACACTGTGAGGGAGCTGCTGCTCTTATCTCCACTCTGCAGTGGGGAGATTGAGGCACCTCAGAGTTAATTAACCAGGGTCACTTGGTAAGTGGCAAGATCTGGATTTGAACCCAGGCAG